GAGGGGGGGAGAGAGGAGAGGGAGAGGAGGAGGAGGAGGAGGGATGAGAAGTGGGAAGGGAGGAGAGCACGAGGGGGGAGGAGGAGGAGGAGGAGGAGGAGGAGGAGGAGGAGGAGGAGGAGGAGGCGGCGGAGGCGGAGGCGGAGGCGGAGGCGGAGGCGGAGGCGGAGGCGGAGGCGGAGGCGGAGGCGGAGGCGGAGGCGGAGGCGGAGGAGGAGGAGGAGGAGGAGGAGGAGGAGGCGGAGGCGGAGGCGGAGGCGGAGGCGGAGGCGGAGGCGGAGGCGGCGGAGGAGGAGGAGGAGGAGGAGGAGGAGGAGGAGGACGAGCGCAGAAGCGGGGCAGGGAGGCGGAGAGGCCGGAGGATCGTGGAGCCCCTCGCTGATTGTTTTTTGTATTTTTCTTTTCGCCGTGATCCCCTCATACTAAGTTTTTTTCGTTATATCGTTCTCTTGTGTTCTCTTTCTCTCTCTCTCTCTTTGTCTCTCTCTCTCTCTTGCTTTGTCTATCTCCTGCACCAGGCCAATGCATGCCGATGCGATACATCCATTCCCAACCACCACTAATGCCAATGCAATGCCAATGGGGGATTCCTTTCGTTCGGTGGATGTCAATAAGAATAGTTAATGGATGATGCCAATACGAATCCTTCTTCGGAGGATTTCAATAGCAATGCTTATGTGTAGGGTTTCGATAGGCATCCTCATGTGGAGGGTTTCACTAGGAATCCTTTACGTGGGAGGATTCAATCGGAACCGTTCTTGTGGAGGGTTTCAGTAGGAGTCCGTCTGTGGAGGGAGCCATTAGGACTCGCCAGCGCAATGCCAACACAATGCCAAAGCTTTGCCATCGCAATGCCAAACCGATGCCAAGGCGATCCCAATTCAATGCCAATGCAATGCCAATGGGGGGTATCCTTTGTGGTAGATTCCATACGGAATCCTACTGGTGGAGGGTTTCGATTGGAATCCTTCGTGGGGGGTTTCAGTATGAATAGTTCATGGGGGTGGGCTTTCAAACTGATGCCTTCTTGTGGAAGGTAAGGCATCCTTCTTTGGTGGGAGCCATTCGAACTCGCCAGCGCAATGCCGAAGCAGTGCCAACGCAATGCCAAACCAATGCCAATGCAATGCCAATGGTGGGAACTGTTTGAGGTAGATTTCAATAGCAATCCTTCTAAGAACCCTTCTTCGGGGGATTTCAATAGGAAACCTTCTATGGAGGGATTCGCATGGAACCCTTCTGCTGAGGATTTCACTTTGGATCCGTCTTGTGTGGGTATCCAATAGACATCTTTTTGTGGGGGTGTTCAATCGGAATCCTTCTGTAAAGTGTTCGAGTAGGACTCGCCAGCGCAACGTCAACGCAATTCCAACGCACTGCTAACGCACGGCCATCGCAATGCCAATGCGATGCCAATGCGATGTCAAACCGTTGCCAAACCAATGCCAATGCAATGCCGATGGCGGGGTTCCCGTCTTCCAACAAATTTCACTCGGAATCCTTGTGTGGATGATTTGGTTACGAATCCTTCTTCGCAGGATTTCGATAGAAATCCTCCCGTGGAGGGTTTCGATTGGAATCTTTCTGTGGGGGGTTCACTTTGAATCCTTCATGTGGGGGCTTTCAAAAGGATCCCTTCTTGTGCAAGATTTTCATAGGAATCCTTCTGTGGGGGAAGCCATTAGATCTCGCCAGCGCAATGCCAACGCAATACCAACGCAATGCCAAACCAATACCAAAGCGAGCCCAATTCAATACCAATGCAATGCGAATGAGGGAAATCGTTTGTGGTCGGGTTCAAGAAGAATCCTTCTATGGATGGCTTCGAATGGAACCCTTCCGTGAGGGAGTTCAATGTGAACCGTTCTTGTGGGATGCTTCAATCGGAATCCTTCTTGTGGGGGGGTCATCAGGAATCATTCTGCGAAGGGAGGTGTTCGAACTCGCCAGCGCAGTGCCAGCGCAATGCCAACGCAGTGCCAACTCAATGCCGCACCAATGCCAACGCCATCCCAACCCGATGCAAAGGCACTGCCAATGGGGGAAATGCTTTGTGGTAGATTTCAATCGGAATCCTTTTGTGGAGTGTTTCGCATGTAATCCTTCTGTGAAGGGTGTCAACAGGAGTCCTTCTTGTAGAAGGTTTCGATCGGAGTCCTTCTGTGGAGGGTTCCATTAGGGCTCGCCAGCGCAATGCTTGCGAAATGCAAACACAGTAGCACAGCGCTGCCAAGCGCAATGTCGACGCAAGGCCAATGCGATGCCAAACCATTGCCAAACCAATGCCAATGCAATGCCAACGTGGTTCTTTCTTTCGAAGCATCTCAATAGCAAGCAAGGTTTCCATAGGAATCCTTCTGTGGGGGGAGCCACTAGAACTCGTCAGCGCAATGCCAACGCAATACCAACGTAATGCCAAGCCGATGCCAACGCGAGCCCAATTCAATGCCAATGCAATGCGAATGAGGGAAATCGTTTGTGGTCGGGTTCAAGAAGAATCCTTCTATGGAGGGCTTCGAGTGGAACCCTTCCGTGAGGGAGTTCAATGTGAACCGTTCTTGTGGGATGCTTCAATCGGAATCCTTCTTGTGGGGGGGTCAACAGGAACCGTTCTGCGAAGGGAGGTGTTCGAACTCGCCAGCGGAATGCCAGCGCAATGCCAACGCAGTGCCAACGCAATGCCGCACCAATGCCGAAGCGATCCCAACCCAATGCCAATGCACTGCCAATGTGGGAAATCCTTTGTGGTAGATTTCAATCGGAATCCTTCTGTGAAGGGTTTCGCATGGAATCCTTCTGTAGAGAGTGTCAATGTAAACCGTTTTGTGGAGGGTTTCAATGGGAGTCCTTCTTGTAGAAAGTTTCGATCGGAGTCCTTCTGTGGAGACTTCCATTAAGACTCGCCAGCGCAATGCTTGCGAAATGCAAGCACACTAGCAACGCACTGCCAAGCGCAATGCCAATGTAATGCCAATGCGATGCCAAACCATTGCCAAACCATCGCCAAACCAATGCCAATGCAATGCCAACGGGGGGTTCTTTATTTCGAAGCATCTCAATCTCAATCCTTTTGCGGGTGATTCCAATATGAACCCATCAGTGGGAGATTTCAACAGGAATCATTCAGTGGGGGGTTTCGATAGGAATCCTTTTGTGGAGGATTTCGCTATGAATCCTTCTTGTGGGGGCGTTCAATAGGAATCCTTCTTGGGGGAGGGCGGATGCGGCCACGTCGCATTCCTTTTTTTCGCCGCCGCCCCCCCCCCGCAGATTTTTCTCCGGGGAATCCGGGAATCGGGGAATTGGGGGATTTCGGGAATGGGGGAATGGGGGAATGGGGGAATGGGGGAATGGGGGAGAATGGGGGAATGGGGGGGAATGGGGGATGGGGGAATGGGGGGAATGGGGGAAGGGGAGGAGGAGGAGGAGGGGAGGAAGGAGGAGGAGGAGGAGCGCGGAGGAGGCGGAGGAGGAGGAGGAGGAGAGGAGGAGGAGGAGGAAAGGCGGTGAGGCGGCGGCGACGGCGGCGGCGGCGGAGGAGGAGGAGGAGGAGGAGGAGGAGGAGGAGGCGGAGGAATAGAAGGCGGAAGGAGAGGAGGACGCCGCAGAGTACGCACACTAAGCCTCGTGCGCGCGCTCTGGAACCCCGAAGGGCTCCACAATCCCCCGTTCTCGAGGAGGAGGAGGAAGAGGATGAGGAGGAGTGCGTAAGCGGGGCAGAAGGAGTTGGAGGAGGAGGAGGAGGGGGAGGATGAGCATGAGGAGGAGGAGGATGAGGAGGAGGATGAGGAGGAGTGCAGAAACGGGGTAGGATAAGAAGACGTATAGTAGTAGTAGTAGTAGTAGTAGTAGTAGTAGTAGTAGTAGTAGTAGTAGTAGTAGTAGTAGTAGT